TTCACATCATCTGCAAACAGGGACACTACTGAGTCTAACCCTTCCATCATGTCGTTCACATATACCAAAAATAGCACTGGTCCTAGGACCCACCCCTGTGGGACCCCGCTCGTCACAGGTGCCCACTGTGATACATCATTACGTACCATGAGTCGTTGCTGCCTCCCTGTCAGGTATTCTCTGATCCATTGCAGTGCCCTTCCTGTTATATGCGCCTGATGCTCTAGCTTCTGCACTAATCTCTTGTGAGGAACTGTGTCAAAGGCCTTCTTGCAGTCCAAGAAGATGCAATCAACCCACCCCTCTCTCTCGTGTCTTACTTCTGTTATTTTATCATAAAACTCCAGAAGGTTTGTGACACAGGATTTGCCTTCCGTGAATCCGTGCTGGTTGACATTTATACTCTTGTTCCGTTCCAGGTGCTCCACCACTCTCCTCCTGATAATCTTCTCCATAATTTTGCATACTATACACGTCAATGACACAGGTCTATAGTTTAGTGCCTCTTTTCTGTCTCCTTTTTTAAAAATGGGAACTACATTTGCCGTCTTCCATACCTCAGGTAGTTGCCCAGTTTCCAGGGACGTGTTGAAGATTGTGGTAAGTGGCAAGCACAACATATCTGCTCCTTCTCTAAGGACCCAAGGGGAGATGTTGTCCGGTCCCACTGCATTTGAGGTATCGATGTCCCTTAGCAGTTTCTTCACTTCCTCCTCATCTGTATGTATGTCGTCCAACACTTGTTGGTGTATTCCTTGCTGGTGTCCCCATCTGGTCTGTCCCCCCAGAGTCCTTCCTGTCTCTACTGTAAATACTTCCTTAAATCTCGTGTTGAGCTCCTCACATACCTCTTGATCGTTTCTTGTGAGTTCTCCACCTTCTTTCCTCAGCCTTATCACCTGGTCCTTGACTGTTGTCTTCCTCCTAATGTGGCTATACAGCAGATTCGGGTCAGATTTGACTTTCGATGCTATGTCGTTTTCATACTGTCGCTGGGCCTCCCTCCTTATCTGTGCATACTCGTTTCTGGCTCTTCTACTAATCTCCTTGTTTTCCTGGGTCCTATGCCTCCTGTACCTTTTCCATTCTCTGTTGCACTTAGTTTTTGCCTCCCTACACCTTCGGGTAAACCAAGGACTCGTCTTGGTCTTCCTATTATTTCTGTTTCCCTTGGGAACAAAACTTTCCTCTGCCTCCTTGCACTTTGTTGCCACATATTCTATCATCTCGTTTACTGATTTTCCTACCATTTCTCTGTCCCACTGAACCTCCTGCAGGAAGTTTCTCATACCTGTGTAGTCCCCCCATTTATAGTTTGGCCTGTCCCCTTCAGTTCCTGTTGCCTTCTCCACTTGTAACTCTACTATATAATCAAAACTCAGAACCACGTGATCGCTAGCTCCAAGGGGCCTCTCGTAAGTGATGTCCTCAAAGTCTGAACTGCTCAGGGTGAACACAAGATCCAGTCTTGCTGGTTCATCCTCCCCTCTCTCTCTGGTTGTGTCCCTGACATGTTGATGCATGAGGTTTTCAAGTACCACATCCATCATCTTGGCTCTCCATGTGTGTGTGTGTGTGTGTGTGTGTGTGTTCGCGCGTTCTTGAGGCGGAGTCTATTAGACGTTTCTATCCCTTTACATAATTACTAACAACCAGCTTACTGTGCTTCCTGTGCCCTGTCATTCCAACTCTTAATTCTGTGTATCATGTTATGCATAATCCTCCACCACATCATGTGGCTTATCTATCTCAGTAGCTCTCATCTATATTTCCTAGCTCACTCTTCCCACATATATTTTCTGTCACATGATTATTTCCGGTATTTTTTCACCTCTTTTTTAGTATTGTTACCTTGGGTTTATAAAGTATCTCCTTGTAGTCAGGTCTCTTCCTCTTGACTATAACGTGTATCATATTGTATATGGAATACAATACTGTTAAGCTTATAAGACTGATGTGCAACACTTGGGTCTTCATTGCCCTAAGTCTCGTCTGCTGTGGAGGCGAAACATTTCTGCAATAAAGATATCTAAGCGTTATATTTCATGTCTTGTCCGTCCCTTTCTTTTCCCCTGTCATAATTTTCACATCTCTCAGGTATTATATCTAGAAGATACTTATTTTTTTACCACGTTTGTAGCGAGTTCAAGTCATCATGGAGCTTTTCTCATTCCTCTCCGCTTGCTATCGTTCTCATTAGTTTCTTATCAGCAAACAGTGATAGGTTAGTTAGAGATTTGCCGGTATTTCCGGCCCGGGTCTTCTCCAGATGGTGACCCGGCGAACAATGATAGGTAGAATTAATTTTGCTCCAAATAATTTATGTACATAAGAAGCAACAAGGGTTCCAGTACTGGTCCTTGAGGAGCCCCTGTGAGGGAAAAAACAGTTAATGAGTTGTACATATACCTATGAGAATGAATATATGATTGTGGTGAGAGTCGTTCGCGTGAAGCAATTGTTACAGAGAAATGCAGACGCCAAGTCAGTTTCCTGCCTCTTTCCACACTTCTTTGGGGGGGGGGTTAGGTGATTTAGGGATCTGGACATCGTCAGAAAGTCACTTAGCCACCCAGCTCTCTTCCTTAATGGTGGAAACGGGCTCTTATTCTAGGGATTTGGATCTGTACTCCAATTCCCTGAATTGAGCCATCCATCCCCCCTTCACAGGCGTTGTATAATCCCTACGGTTTTGGCGTTCCCTCATAACAATATTAACAATAATAATTATACCCAGCTCTCTGGTGATTCCTGTGTGTTATGACCGGGCCAACAGGACTACGAGGGATCACCTGGACTGCAGAGTTTATCAAAAAGTTGTGGATTTAATCCAGCCTACCTTCACCTTCATTTTCTGTGAAAGGGTACTTACTATGTATGTGTGGACCTGAGTTACTCTGTGAGCTATCTCTCTCGTCACCTCCGAGACAACCCACCAGCCTGGTGTTCACCGCTTCATATGGTTCACTCTTACCTGATTGCTCGACTGCTCTACACCGTCTTGACTGTTGTGCACTTCTCATTAAGGGCTCTTGCCTTTCATACCATTGGTGTCTCCTTCTTTGTCTAGTGGTGACCATCTGCTACATCTATGGAAGAGTTATTCTCGTAACCTTTGATTACTATGAATCAGAACCTGTCTGCAACGTCACGAGCCGAGTCATACCTATTGCTGCTCTTGTATATTTATTTATCCTAGCTTTGATTCAATGTAGTAATTTGTTTCGCATTTTCATTGTTTTCAATAAGCCAAGAATTACTGTATGTTTTGGTGTCTATTGTTAAGCAAATTATTAAAATTTTGCATTATCATTAATTTCTTCACATTATTTATATTTACTTGTTACTCATATGTTTTGTCCACCTTTTCTTTTACTAAGAATTGTCATTGACACTATGAAACACTGAGGAGTCAGTCGTTACAACTGAGGCTACTTAACACTATTATTTCCTTATTAATATATCTGCCTCTGTTTCGCAGCGCAATTCTGTAGCCACTTGAGCAACTTGTCACTCGTGTCTGCAGTTCTGATTCGTATATAAGTCTCTGGTATAATACTGTTCTGAATGTGTTTTTTATAGTTTTATTTTATATATTATCTTCTTATGAAACTCCAGGTGATACCCACGACAGGATTTGCAAACTGTGTAACCTTGTTACTTTTGTCTTGCTTGTGATGTTTTCCTGGTGATCATCTCTTATCTCTTATTTTTCGTTTGATAGTCAGCGATATTGGTCTGCTTTCCTTGTTTTTTTAATTTTAGGATTGTATCTCTGTTTTTTTTTTCAGCTGCTTGGTAGTTACCCACTTTCTAATGACTTGTAAATTCTTCTGCCTTTCTTTCATTACCCAAAATCATATCTTATTATTCCCATTTCTATCGTTTCATCGATTTTATAAGAAATTATTAATTTCTTTCTATTTTATATTATTGTATTCTAGTCTCTGTTGGTCGTCCTTTCCTCTCCCTCCTCATAAAATCTTGAATCGTCAATTCACTTCTGGACTTACCGCCATGTAATAATTTGTCATCTCGCTCCCTTCCTTGAGTCATATCACATAGTTCCAGGCTGTCATCTTCGCTTTGCGAGGACATGTATCAGCTTCGTTTATGTTTTGACTTTCATTGCTGCATTTGCGAAATCTTTTTACCCTTTCTTTCTGATCCTTGCATGGCAGATCATAGCCATCATCTTTTCTCTGTGCATTTCCCACGCCTTTTGCTCTTTGTTTTTTGCCTTATAACTTGTCTTTGTATACCATGGACTCTCTCTCTCTCTCTCTCTCTCTCTCGCTCTCTCTCTCTCTCTCTCTCTCTCTCTCTCTCTCTCTCTCTCTTGTATTCTCATTCTTGCTGGTATATATTTCTCCTTGACTTCCTGGCGTCTGTTACGTAATCTCTCTATCATCTCGTGTACTGTCTAATCCTTCTTATTGTATTACATTCAAGATTTCTCTCATTCCCATGTCTTTAACTCCGCTAGATTCCCTTTTCTTGTATATCTCTGCTTTCGCATATCTCCATCCTCATATCTAGCAGATAGTCAAAATATACGACTACTCAATCACTGGCTCCTGGTGGTTCCCCATATTCAACTTGCACTTTTTCTGATTCAGTCAATGTAAAGACCAGATGCAGTCTTGCTGGTTCGTCGTTTCGTCCTGTCTTAGTCGTGTCTTCAACATTATAACTCATGGAGTTTCGTATTACTATTTATATCAGTTTTCCCTCCGTGCTTCTGATTGGGTTCCCACTTCACCCCGTTAATTTGACCTTGATTGAAGTTTCTCAAGACAGTTTTGTGTCACTGATGTGCTTCATGTGTTACATGTATTCTGTGTCTTGATTATCTAGTGTTCGCTGGAGGAGTGTAAACTGATGTTTGCAAGTGTGTTGTGTCTGCACAGGTCTCAAGAAGCCATTTTATAATAAAGACGTTTACTCCACTGGGGACGAAATATCATCACAATAACATTAATAAAATGCCGTAACCCGCAATGTGTTTCATTGACGTAGAAACTACCACCACTTCAGCAGATGTGAGGTATGGAAGTGGTGAACAGGCGTACACCAAGAGGTGTGATACTGAGCAAGTGCACACCATCACCTGTGTGGTGGTGTTCGTATAGGACCATAGGTCTCCAAAAAGGGACTACCAGACAGTTCATTTGTCCCTTGGGTAATAATGGAGTGTATAGATGTGCGCAAGTAGTCGTGGTGAACATGTGTACACTAACAGGTGTTGGTATATCCTCTACAGGTGTCCCAGAGTGACCACCAGACGGTGAGGCTGCAGAGAGTGTCCCTGGAGGCAGGTGGTCGCTACAAGTGTGAGGTGTTGACGGAGGCGCCGCTCTTCCGCACTCTTGTTAAATCTGCTGCCATGAACGTCGTTGGTGAGTAACTTCTCTTCTGCACTCTCTCCTCGTTATACTCTCCTCTCTTCTGTACTCTCTATTCAATATACTCTCCTCTCTTCTGCCCTCTCCTTTCTACTACTCATTTCTCGGCTACACTCTGTCGCCTCTCTTCTACACTCCCCCGCCTTTTACACTCCCTTACTTCTCTTCTACACTCCCTTGTTTCTTTTCTACACTCCCTAGATTCTCTTCTACGCTCCCTTGCTTCTCTTCTACACTCCCTTGCTTCTCTTCTACACTCCCTTGCTTCTCTTCTACACTCCCTTGTTTCTTTTCTACACTCCCTAGCTTCTCTTCTACACTCCCTTGCTTCTCTTCTACACTCCCTCACGCTTCTCTTCTATACTCCCTCGCTTCTCTTCTACACTCCCTCACGCTTCTCTTCTACACTGTCTCGCTTCTCTTCTATACTCCCTCGCTTCTCTTCTATATTCCCTCGCTTCTCTTTTACATTCACTCGCTTATCTTCTACATTCCCTCGCTTCTCTTCTACATTCCCTCGCTTCTCTTCTACATTCCCTCGCTTCTCTTTTACAGCCTCTCGCTTCTCTTCTACATTCCCTCGCTTCTCTTCTACACTCCCTCGCTTCTCTTCTACATTCCCTCACTTCTATTCTACATTCCCTCGCATCTCTTCTACATTCATAAGAACATAAGAACATAAGAAAGGAGGAACACTGCAGCAGGCCTGTTGGCCCATACTAGGCAGGTCCTTTACAATTCATCCCACTAACAAAACATTTGCCCAACCCAATTTTCAATGCCACCCAAGAAATAAGCTCTGATGTGCAAGTCCCACTCAAATCCAACCCCTCCCACTCATGTACTTATCCAACCTAAATTTGAAACTACCCAAAGTCCTAGCCTCAATAACCCAACTAGGTAGACTGTTCCACTCATCAACTACCCGATTTCCAAACCAATACTTTCCTATGTCCTTTCTAAATCTAAACTTATCTAATTTAAATCCATTACTGCGGGTTCTCTCTTGGAGAGACCTTATTAATATCAACTTTATTAATACCTATCTTCCACTTATACACTTCGATCAGGTCTCCCCTCATTCTTCGTCTAACAAGTGAATGTAACTTAAGAGTCTTCAATCTTTCTTCATAAGGAAGATTTCTAATGCTATGTATTAATTTAGTCATCCTACGCTGAATGTTTTCTAACAAATTTATGTCCATTCTGTAATATGGAGACCAGAATTGAGCTGCATAATCTAGGTGAGGCCTTACTAATGATGTATAAAGCTGCAGTATGACCTCTGGACTTCTGTTACTTACACTTCTTGATATAAATCCCAGCTTAGGCATTGCTGTCTTGGTTTAAGGTTGCTGCTCACCATAACCCCCAAGTCCTTTTCGCAATCTGTATGGCTAAGTTCTACATCATTTAACTTATAAGTACTAGGGTTATGGGCACTCCCGAGCTTCAGAACCTTGCATTTATCTGCATTGAACTGCATCTGCCACTTTTCTGACCAAGAACTGAGTTTGTCTAAATCCTCCCGAAGTTCCCTAACATCTACGTTTGAATCAATTATCCTACCTATCTTTGTGTCATTGGCGAATTTGCTCATATCACTAGTAATTCCCTCCCACAAATCAATTCCCTCGCTTCTCTTCTACATTCCCTCGCTTTTCTTTTACACGCCCTAGGGCGGCCACAACACTAGGGTAGGCACCCACACTAGGGTGACCACCTACACTAGGGTGACCACCCACACTTGGGTGACCGCCCACACTAGGGTGATCACCTACACTAGGGTGACCACCTACACTAGGGTGACCACTCACACAAGGGTGACCACTCACCCTAGGGTGACCACCCACACTAGGGTGACCACCCACACTAGGGTGATCACCTACACCAGGGTGACCAACCACACTAGGGTGACCACCCACAATAGGGTGACCACCCACACTAGGGTGACCACTCACCACCCACACTAGGGTGATCACCCACACCAGGGTGACCAACCACACTTGGGTGACCACTCACCACCCACACTAGGGTGACCACCCACACTAGGGTGACCACCCACTCTAAAGTGATTACCCACCCTAGGGTGACCACCCACACTAAGGTGACCACCCACATTAAAGTGACCTCCCACACTAAAGTGACCACCCACACTAGGGTGACCACCCACACTAGGGGTGACCACCCACACTCGGGTGACCATCCACACTAGGGTGACCACCCACACTAGGTTTACCACCCACACTAGGGTGACCACCCACACTAGGGTTACCACCCACACTAGGGTGACCACCCACACTAGGGTGACCACCCACACTAGGGTGACCACCCACACTAGGGTGACCACCCACACTAGGTTGACCACCTACACTAGGGTCACCACCCACCCTAGGGTGACCCACACTAGGGTGACCACCCACACTAGGGTGACAACTGACACTAGGGTGACCACCTACACTAGGGTGACCACCCACACTAGGGTAACCACCCACACTAGGGTGACCACCCACACTAGGGTGACAACTGACACTAGGGTGACCACCCACACTAGGGTGACCACCCACACTAGGGTGACCACCCACACTAGGGTGACCACCCACACTAGGGTGACCACCCACACTAGGATGACCACCCACAATAGAGTGACCACCCATACTAGAGTGACCACCCACACTAGAGTGACCACCCACACTAGAGTGACCACCCATACTAGAGTGACCACCCACACTAGAGTGACCACCCACACTAGAGTGACCACCCACACTAGAGTGACCACCCACACTAGAGTGACCACCCACACTAGGGTGACCACCCACACTAGGGTGATCACCCACACTAGGGTGATCACCCACACTAGAGTGACCACCCACACTAGAGTGACCACCCACACTAGAGTGACCACCCACACTAGGGTGACCACTCACACTAGTGTGACCACCCACACTAGAGTGACCACCCACACTAGAGTGACCACTCACACTAGAGTGACCACCCACACTAGGGTGACCACTCACACTAGAGTAGCCACCCACACTAGAGTGACCACCCACACTAGGGTGACCAGTCACACTAGAGTGACCACCCACACTAGAGTGACCACCCACACTAGGGTGACCACCCACACTAGGGTGACCACTCACACTAGAGTGACCACTCACACTAGAGTGACCACTCACACTAGAGTGACCACTCAAACTAGAGTGACCACCCACACTAGAGTGACCACTCACACTAGGGTGACCACTCACACTGTAGTGACCACCCACACTAGGGTGACCACCCACAATAGAGTGACCACCCACACTAGGGTGACCATCCACACTAGAGTGACCACCCACACTAGAGTGACCACCAACACTAGGGTGACCACCCACACTAGGGTGACCACTCACACTAGGGTGACCACCCACACTAGAGTGACCACCCACACTAGAGTGACCACCAACACTAGGGTGACCACCCACACTAGGGTGACCACCCACACTAGAGTGACCACTCACACTAGGGTGACCACTCACACTGTAGTGACCACCCACACTAGGGTGACCACCCACAATAGAGTGACCACCCACACTAGGGTGACCACCCACACTAGAGTGACCACCAACACTAGGGTGACCACCCACACTAGGGTGACCACTCACACTAGAGTGACCACCCACAATAAAGTGACCACCCACACTAGGGTGACCACCCACACTAGAGTGACCAACACTAGGGTGACCACCCACACTAGGGTGACCACTCACACTAGAGTAACCACTCACACTAGAGTGACCACCCACACTAGGGTGACCACCCACACTAGGGTGACCACCCACACTAGGGTGACCACCCACACTAGAGTGACCACCCACACTAGGGTGACCACCCACACTAGGGTGACCACCCACACTAGGGTGACCACCCACACTAGAGTGACCACCCACACTAGAGTGACCAACACTAGGGTGACCACCCACACTAGGGTGACCACTCACACTAGAGTGACCACCCACACTAGAGTGACCACCCACACTAGTGACCACTCACACTAGAGTAACCACCCACACTAGAGTGACCACCCACACTAGGGTGACCACTCACACTAGAGTAACCACCCACACTAGGGTGACCACCCACACTAGAGTGACCACCCACACTAGAGTGACCAACACTAGGGTGACCACCCACACTAGGGTGACCACTCACACTAGAGTGACCACTCACACTAGAGTGACCACTCACACTAGAGTAACCACTCACACTAGAGTGACCACCCACACTAGGGTGACCACCCACACTAGAGTGACCACCCACACTAGAGTGACCACCCACACTAGTGACCACTCACACTAGAGTAACCACCCACACTAGAGTGACCACCCACACTAGGGTGACCACTCACACTAGAGTGACCACTCACACTAGAGTGACCACTCACACTAGAGTAACCACTCACACTAGGGTGACCACCCACACTAGGGTGACCACTCACACTAGAGTGACCACTCACACTAGAGTGACCACCTACACTAGAGTGACCACTCAAACTAGACTGACCACCCACACTAGAATGACCACTCACACTAGGGTGACCACCCACACTGTAGTGACCACCCACACTAGGGTGACCACCCACACTAGAGTGACCACCCACAATAGAGTGACCGCCCACACTAGGGTGACCACCCACACTAGTGTGACCACCCACACTAGAGTGACCACCCACACTAGAGTGACCACCCACACTAGGGTGACCACTCACACTAGAGTGACCACTCACACTAGAGTGACCACTCACACTAGAGTAACCACTCACACTAGAGTGACCACCCACACTAGAGTGACCACCCACACTAGAGTGACCACCCACACTAGAGTGACCACCCACACTAGGGTGACCACCCACACTAGAGTGACCACCCACACTTGGGTGACCACCCACACTAGAGTGACCACCCACACTAGAGTGACCACCCACACTAGGGTGACCACTCATACTAGAGTGA